GAAATAATTCGCAACGTCAGCAGCAGGAGAATGCCAGGCAGGAACAGAAAGGAGGACGTGAGGAGGGAAAAACAAGGATGAGACTGGCTGCCCGCCCTCGAAATCCAGAGGAGTAGGAAAAGGAGAAGTAGACGAGCGTATTACGACAGGTTTGCTACAACACCGAAGGATCCACCCCCCACGACATGGGGAATGAGCGAAGGCGAGCCCCTGAAATGATACTTTCAACGAGGAGCATGACTAACACGGAGACGAACATGTGGAACGAGTGTTGGGGGAAAATGCTGGCTCCATGATCACGCACACCGCGGCAAAGAAGTCGGCGCAGATGATGACATCGACCAGTGCGTCGTCCTGCAGTGGCCATCTACGTCGTGCCAGACTTCATCGAAGCTCTGGTCGCTCGCGTCGCCAACCACGCCTCCGACGGGAGCCAACCCAGGGAGACCAGAAGCTTCAGCCAGAGCCAGGCGAATACGCATGGTGAATCACATCAGACTCAAGACATTGATTGAATGCCGTTGCCACTGCATGAGAGCTTAACGTGTCACTCTTAGAGACCAACTCACTGATAACCGCAGCAAGCCTTTGCAGAGCTTCCTCATGCACAGCAACCTGGCTCTCGCAATGGGAAGCGTGCTCCTGTACAATCTCCTTAGTCTCAGAGACAGTGTTAGCCAGCTGGCACAACTCTTTTCGAACTCGCTCGCAATTGCACTTCAGTTCAATGACCAACCGAACTTCGTCCTTCGGCAGGCCCAGATCCAGCACGACACGAGCACGAGCCTGATCCACAACCTCGGACTAAATCGAGCCAAACTCCGCGAGAAAATAGTGGTCCTCGACCCGGGACATATACTCCTCAGTCTCAGCCATGTTGCAATCTATACAAAACAACTCCTGCACTCCTCCCGTACTTTCTGCAGGTCGGCGAGCTTCGACACCCGTTGAATATGTTCATCGATGAGGGACTGTGCATTCCCACTATGTTGCCTGACACCTTCTTGTGTCTGCGCGCAAACCACGCATGACATCTAGCTTCGCATTGATCAGGCTAACACACGGAACGTCAGCGGTGATCTCGGAATGAAAGGCGTGAACCTGCACGACGAGAGCGGCGACGCCATCACAAAGAGAGGCGACCTGATGCGCTGCCTGCGGCTCCAGGGAAGCGAGGCGACCAAAGACCAGAGCCAACCCAGAATAAAGATCATTGTCAATCTACGGACGTGCCAAAGAGGACAGCACGGTAGTCTCAAGAACCCTGAATTGCTTCTAAATTGTGTGTTCAACCCCGCGCATCAACTGAAAGCCCTTGTGAGCAACATTGGCCGCCTCCGATAACTCATGAGATTGCCGAGAGAAGTATTCATTCAGGTCCTGCGCGACTGACCATAGGTACGAGAGTTGCACTGTCGCGCCCACCAAGCCATCGAATCGATAGCCAGCTCAGCGCCCAGGCTGGGAATAACTGGTGATGAAACCAAGGGCGGCGACAGCACCTCGGAACAAGCGTCTGCCTCGCCACAAGTACAGCAGGCAAGAAACTCGGCGGCGTCACGACGAAATGAAGAGCACCGTCGGATGCCATTCTTCCACCGAGCCGTCACCACAGGGCAGACCGAGGCAGGATCCGAAGACGGTGCAGGGTTGGGTTAGAATGGTTCCCAAGCTGCGTCGGGACAAAAACACCTCATGGCAGGCCGTGTCAGCAAATCGAAATAGATGGCGATGTCACGGAGGGGGAGGAGGAAGAGGGTGAGGAGGCGGCGGAGGAGGAGGACAGCGCGGGACGACGCCCCCCCAAACAGCCACTTGAGGATCCCCGCCCTCGAAAAACGGGTGGCGTCCAAGAGAGGGACCAGGGGACATGTTGAAATAAAACATGTGGAGCCATGAGATCTAGGCCCTAGATCCCAGGGCCCCAGATTCTAGGGATACATCATGTTCCCAGATATGATTCCTTCACATCCCTAGTCATCACCCCCCTCTTTGCCGCCCCCGAGAAAAACGACCTCCGAGGACGCTGCCGGATCGCCGGTCCTACGAGTCAGAACGTGGCGGTAGAAAATTAGCGCGGCGGCAGCCTGAAGCTACCCACACAGACGCCGGACGCCTCGCGCAGGACGCAGGCCACACGCTACTCGCAGTCCGGGCAATCAAGCTGGCGACTACAAGCCGGGGGACGCCAACTGACCACACTGATCCTGGCTGGACCCATCCTGGGCCCTGGATCGATGCGCTACTGTGCGGGCGCGGCCGCACGAAAGCATCCAAATAAACCCAATCCTGAAAATCCACGCGCGAGGTGCAAGTGTGGGAAAACCTATGGCACCCTGAATGCAGCAGCCTCTTGACGCCAACGGGAAGTCACCGCGCAGCGCGCGGGGCGAAGAAACCCAGGGCGCCCTGACGAGGAGTATCTGTTACGCCCTCCTGGCATTTCAAGGATCGGTTAAGTGGACAATTGACGTCCCCAGGTACGAAGGGAATCCGGCTGTCACCAGCGGTCATCTACGCTCGTGTACCTGATCGCTGGGAAAACCAAATCCTCCTCACTCACCCACTCACCCAGCTCGTTCCTTCTCCCGTCTTCGCTTCATCCATCCTCCTCCCCGCCAACTCCTCTTCCTCTTCCTCTTCGCTGCCTCCCATCAGTCTAATGATCGATGACGGACTCACGACGCCGAGCTCAACGACGACTCTTGGCACAATCAACAGAGACTCTTCGAGTGAGCATCCGCTGGCCCCCAGGAACATCAGTCACGAGGGCCACCAGGCCCAAACGGCAGTCAATGCACTCACCGTGGTTCATCGCGACACCCTCACCGAGTGTCCGACGACTTCCACTGGCGCTCCGCAGTGTGGCCACCAGGCTCGCACTGCAGCCAGTCCTGGTGTCGACGACCGCCGACGACCGTCTGCCGACTGAACGACTTCCGACGACCGTCCGCCCAACGTTCGCCCGACGACCGCCGATGACCATTCCGCCCGACCGACCGCCGGCTGCTCGACCTCCGACGATGACACCCGTACCACCACACCACCAAGGCGGAGGCCAACAGGCCCCACGCCTGATCAAGCGACACCGCAATACACCAAACCAATGTCCCCCTACGGCTCGTCACGGCCCCGGGCGACCGCTACTCTGACAAGGCCGTCGTGTGATACCACTTTGAGCATTTTGAGCGCTCGATGCTTACTTGTTTCACCTAGTTCGATCACAGTACGCCGACCCGCCCTCGGACCCCAGGGACGGCGAGTGAAGGTGTCCACCAAGCCCGACACTTTGACTGCGAATCTGTGTCTCGGGCTCCATGCACAGGCACTGCGTTCCATGCAACGGGCCATTCTAGGGACCACGGGACTGACTCCTGCTTACCTCTTTTGTGCTCTCACGTTCTGCCTGAAAGTCAAGCACACATTCTTCCACCGCCTCACCACGGAAGCGGATGACGACTACGACCGACACCTAACCTGACTGGACACCTATCACCAGCGCTGAGGACCACGTATCCCCAAGACGACGACACCATTCGTTCCTACACTCCGACGCTGTCCGAGCACTGAATGGCGCTGCTGCTGCCTTTGCCGCCACTGCTGCCTCCTCTGCCTCTCAGGTGCGAGCCACCAGGCAAGCACCTGGGCAGTTCGGGACCTGCGTCATGGTCTGAAGTATGCTCCGTCACGTGAGGGCCCCCGGATGGTCCAGGAACCCGGCGTCCCCGCACCCAGGCCTCCTCGCCCTTCCGCAGTCGGCCCCCACTGGGGGTGTAGACCCCCACTTCCGCCGCGGGTTGGCGGGGCCCGCGCACCTCCCCTGTTCCTGCCTGGTCCCTTTGCTGGCGGGGCCTGGGCGCCGTCGGCAAGGGGATCGGGCGGAGCGGGGGGCGTCCGTGTTTGCACGGACTCTGGTGCTGGGCCCGGCTGCCCTTGGGCCCAAGAGGGACGCCCTTGCACCTCCCCTGTGGGATGTTGCCGTATGCCGCTGCTCGCCTGTGGCGCTGCGTGAACTGTTGGCAACTTGTCCGTGGCTCCCTCTCTTTCTGGGCCGCTGCAGGGGACACCCCAAGGCGGCGCCTTTCGCTCTCCCAAGTGCTGCTTCGCGCAGGCCGAAGCGCGCGTAGAGGCAGCGCTTCTGCCACGGGGGCGCAGACAAGCCCCGTAGCGGCCTGTTCACCGTCGCCCGCCCGTTTTCCAAACGGGATCCCCTGGACCGCGCCAGGCGCGAAACAAACCCACCACCCCTGTTATATCTGGGGCGCCTCCCGCGAATGCGAAGACGGCCTGTCTGGTGCTCGCACCCTGGACGCCGGGACTGACACGCGGCCCGATGTGTTCCGATCTTCCTCTTCCTCCTCCCTCACTCTCTCACTCTCTCACTCTCTCACTCACTCACTCACTTACTCACCCATGGTGATGTGTTCCCTCCCAGCGCAGCCCGCTCGCAGTAGCAGGAGGAGGAGGGGCGAGGAGGGGCGAGGAAAGTGGCAGGAGGGAGGACTGGCGGAGGCAAGGAAGAATTTCAAAACAGCCAACGTGCTGCCATAAGGAATGCCAATTTAAGGAACTAATGGGCTTTCCTCACCACGGCAATCATCGCCCACGAATCGATTTCCCGACTTAGACTTCGGGAACGGCCCGAAAATCAGGGCCCCCCCCTGAACCCAGAGTGGTCCTGAGAGTACATCTGCCAAGAGGTGGGGCACGGCCAGATCCAAATGCCACTTGCTGCAGACGAGGGTGAGCCCAAAGGTGAGTTCAGAGCGCTGGGGAGGAAAGCAGAGTGCAGACCTCTATAGCATCCGGCGCAAAGGAGAATGAGCAAATCAGACGCCCGCATGGGCAGCAATATCAACAAGAAAGCTCCGAACTACACGAAGATGTGCACACGCCTCCCTGCCCCCCTTTCCTGACCATGCTTGCCACCTTGTCCACATGCGCCCTCTTGGCCACACGCTTGCGGTGACTACTCGAATTCGCTCGGCATCAAGTGTGGCGGGGAAAGCGCGGCCAGAAAGGTTCGAACCGGATCGCAACTCGGTAGATCTCTCCGAACAGAAAGCTGCATTTAAGACTCACCCGTGGAGTACCCTCCGCTCCTGCCACCGCTGCCATAATCTTTCGAGCCGCCGTACCCACCCCCGCCACCCCGGCCGCCGCCCTTGCCGCCGTACCCGCCGCCGCCTCCGTACGACTTTTTGGCCCCGTACCTGGGAGAGGGAGGGGGCCAAAAGATACCAATACCATTGCTCTCCAGACTTTTCCCAAGCCGCGTTTTGGTCAGAACTTCGAAGTGAATCCAGCCGTGGTGACGAAGAAGGGCTGCGGCGTCGGCATTACTTCCTCCTCTGAGTACCCACCGCCGCCGCCGTAACCTCTGCCGCCGCCGCCACCCCCGTAGCCATCCGAGTCGTACCCGCCACCGCCGCCTCTGTACCCGCCGCCGCCGTACCCGCCGCCGCCGCCACGCCTTGCGCCGTAGCCTCCGCCCCCACCGCCGTAGCCTCCGCGGCCGCCTGGCGACCGGCTGCCGCCGCCCCCGCCGACTTTGTCGATCAGCCATCTGGGCACGGGCGACGCCTCGGCGGGAGCAGCCAACATCGAATCGCGAAATCGGAATCGCGTCGAACCAAGTTGCGTCCCACGGATTCGGGGTCGAATCGAATCGGCCATGCCAGGACGCACAACATCGCCACCCAAGCATTCAACCGCATGGGATCGTCGAGTATCGGAATCAGATCGAATCGGGCTGGCCGAAGTCGAGATCGAATTTGATCAATCGGAGCGGAGTAGGCCCTGCCTCGGGGTCATCTTTGGCCTGCCGCTGAAGGTCCTTCACGATGTCTCTGAGCGCCGGTTCCGACTGGCCCACCTGGGGACAGTGCGCGTGCGCGCGATGCCGTGCGACCCAAACTTGCCCCGTCGCCGCACGGCAGAGGCAATCCGCATGGGCGCTCGCAGTGGCTGGGGGCGCACAGTGAACTAGTTGTCCGGATGCAAAAGACGGGACTCGGGAAGGCAGGGCGGCCGCGGAAAGAGCAATTAGGGGGAAGGCGTTCACGAAAGCGCCAATGCAGAAAAGAGTAGGGCTCTAGTCCAGCGTGAAACAACACGAAGTTTCGAACGGGAGCGCTGGTTCTGTTGGGACGGCGGTCGTCGGCGGCGAGGAGGAACACCGCATTGAGTAAGAAAGGCAGAAGTCTCGAGCGGAGTCGCAATTTTGTCAGGACGCGGGCTGTCGGCGGCGAGGAACGGAACAGCACCGTCCCCAGGAAAAAAAAAACCCTCGAGCGGGAACGTTGTTCTTGCTGGGGACGGCGCCGATTCAAAAAAGAGTTGGGCGCCAGTCCAGCGTAACACGGGAGGAAGTCTCGGGCGGGAACGCTGGATTTGTTGGGGTGGCGGTTTTCGGCGGCGAGCAAAAGCACCGGCTCATTCAAAAGAGAGTTGGGGGCCAGTCCAGCGCAACACGGGAGGAAGTCTCGGGCGGGAACGCTGGTTTTGTTAGGGCGGCGGTTTTCGGCGGCAAGCACAAGCACCAGCTCTGACTAAATACAGGAGGAACTGGAGGAATTTTCAGGCGGGAGTGCTGGTTTTGTTGGGGCGGCGGTTTTCGGCGGCGAGCAGAAGCACCGGCTCTGAGTTAAAAAAGAAGAAGCCTCGAACGGGAGCGTTGTTCTTGCTGGAGACGGCGCCGATGAAAGACAGAGTAGCGCGCCACTCCAGCGCAAAACGGGAGGATGTCTCGAGCGGGAGCGTTGGTTTTGTTGGGGCGGCGGTTTTCGGCGGCGAGCTAGAGCACCGGCTCTGGGTAAACACGGAGGAGGTCTCGACCGGGAGCGTTGTTGTTGTTTGGGGATCGGTTTTGGCGCCCCCTAAACCGCTCGAACGTGAGCCTCGTTTTCGATGAAAATGTAGCCGGCGCCTCGGCGAGAGCGCCAGGGCGCAGGTAAGGGGTTCAACAATAATAATTGTTCAGTAGATAACATTCAACAGCAACAACAGCAGCAACAACAACAAACATGTTACCCTCATGCACGATGCTTCGCCACGCAGCATGCGACCACCATGATAACCATCCACATTATGGGGGGTTCTTGTTCTATAGCGGGATCCGTTATTCCCATTCCCAGATTTCCCGCCCAATGATGACTTGCAAGCACTTCCTCCGAGGAATTTCCACATATCCCGCCTCGAAAACACATGCCCGCGATTTGCTGCGCCGGTGCGAGACAGCCAGTGGAAACCCAGCGAATAATGAAGCACAAGGAAGTGTCGAACGACAGGATTGCCTTGGTGGGGATGGGGGTTGTCGGCGGTGAGGCAAGGGCCTGGCCCTGAATAGACAGGGGAGACGTCTCGAGCAGGGCTGCTGTTGTTGCTGGGTGCGGCGCCGATGCAGAAGAGAGTAGGGCGCCAGTCCAGCGTAAAACAAAACGAAGTCTCGAGCGGGGGTGAATTTTGTCGGGACGCGGGCTGTCGGCGGCGAGGAACAGCACCGTCCCGAGGGGGAACAAAAAACTCAAGCGGAGCGTTGTTCTTGCTGGGAGCGGCGCCAATAAGAGAGTAGGGCGCCAGTCCAGCGTAAAACGGAAGGAAGTCTCGGGCGGGGGCGCTGGTTTTGTCGGGGCGGCGGCTTTCGGCGGCGAGGAGGAACGCCGCCTTGAGAAAAAAGGGAGGAAGCCTCGAGCGGGAGCAGTGGTTTTGTCGGGACGGGTGCTGTCGGCGGCGAGGAGCATAGTCTTGAGTTGAAACATAGGAAAGCTCGATCGGGAGCGTTTTTGCTGGCGGCGCCGATGCGAGAAAAACTACCGCGCCAGTCCAAGGCAAAACGGGAGGAAATCTCGAGCGGGGGCGCTGGTTTTGTTAGGACGGCGGCTTTCGGCGGCGAGCAAGAACAGGAGCCCTGACTACAAAAGGAGGACGTCACGAGCGGGAGCATTGTTGTTGTTGGGGGGCCGGTGTTGGCGGCCCCCGAAACCGTTCGAGCGAGAGATTTTTGTTGCAGTAAAAATGAAATCTAGCCAGTGCCTCGGCGATAGCGCCAGGGCGCCTGTAAGGGGTCCAATAAGAACGAGAATGATAATAGTAATAATAATAATAATACGAATACGAATACGAATGCGACTAATAGTAATAGTAATAAGAAGAATAGCAATACTAATACGGCTAATATAAAAACTAATAAGGTTCCTACTGCTACTACTACTACTACTACGACTACTACTACTACTACTACTACTACTGCTGCTACTACTACTACTACTACTACTACTACTACTACTACTATTACTACTACTACTACTACTACTACTACTACTACTACTACAACTACTACTACGACCACTACTACTACTACTACTACTACTAATAATAATAATAATAATCATAATAATAATAATAATAATAGTAATAGTAATAATAAAAATCTGCTCATTATTAGCATTCAGCAACAACAGCAACAGCAATAACCTCAACAACAACACTCAGTCTAAACCTGTTCGTTCTTACTTGCCCGCGTGTCATTCAAAACGAATTCTCCACACCGTCGATACTCGCCCTTATTGTCTTCGATCAAACCCTCTTTTGGTGAATATTTCTCATTGCTGGGGGCGGCGGGTTTAGACAGCCGGGCGAATCTGAACGGGCGGACAATCCATCGTGGGCGTACATGTGCCCGCCATTGCCATTGGTGCCGGCCCTGCAAAAAGAGGAGGGGGATAACGAGGGAGAGTGGGAGGAAGGGGGGAGGGACGAATGAAGAGGGACAACGCCAGGAGAGAAGGAACGAAGAGGGGGCGGTTGATTCGAGGCAGAGAGAGAGAGAGAGAGAGAGCGAGACACAAAGAAAGAAAGACATATAAGAGAGGTAGGGAAAAAGAGTGAGAGGGGATAGAGAGAGAGAGGAAAAAGTAAAGAGGGAGGGAGGATGCAGGAGAGGAAAAGGAGAAGGGAGGAGGGAGAGGAGGGAGAGGGGATAGGGCAGACAGGCATAAGGATGAGGGAAGCGAGGAGGGAGAGAGAAGGGAAGAGGAGAGAGGAGGGAGAGGGAGGAGGAGCAGAAAGGTCAGAGCGTGAACGTTCGAGGAAGTCCTGGGCGAAAGCGCCGTTCCTGAAGGAAGTCTCGGGCGGGAGCCCACGACGGGCGGGCGATCCCCTGACGGGCGGGTCGGGCGGGTGGGACATTCAAGCGGGATGCCTGCATATGGCGAGAGCGCGATTACTAAGTAAATTGTAACGGCGTCCTTGGCGCAGCGTGTTTCCTGAGCGTCGGAAGCACGATTTCAGAATACATTACATGGGCGTCACAAGCGAGAGCGCAATCCCTGTATAAAATGTGAAGGGTTCTCTGGCGCGAGCGAAGGTTTTGATTAAATTGCGAAACAAATTTGATTCAGCTGCAAGGAAAAATCTTGAGTAAATTGAGGAAATTTCAGATGGGAGCGGGGGTCCTGACAAAATTACGAGGACGTCACAGGCGGGAGCACCGATCCTGAGTAAATTTGGAGGAAGACTCAGGCGGGAGCCGCTGTTGTTGTTGTAATCTGGGGGGCCCGGGGCACAGTTTGAGCACCAAGGCTTTCCCTGTCAAGAAACAGGGTGCGAGCGTCGAGAGGCACATATTGATAGCGAAAAAAACAGCAAATAATGATTCTTCAGAAATGAGAGCTCGCCAGCAACAACAACAATAATTTCAAGACTGTTCGACCTTATATGCTCGAGTGTCCAATAACGCGTATTTCCCAAACCCTCGATACCCGCCCTCTTCGTCTTCGATCGAACCCCTTTTGGCGGGTATACCTTTCTTCCCTGCAGGCCGGGCACCGGCAAACGGCGGGGCGGCCGCGGACCGTCGGCCTGGCCAGCGGCAGCGCTGATCGGCGGGGCGGCCGCGGACCGTCGACCCGACCCCAAGAGGGACGGACAGGGGACCGACGACGACGATGACGACGACGACGACGACGACGTCGAAGACGACGGCGACGACGACGTGAAAGCGAGAGCGAGAGAGAACGACAGCAGGGCCACGAAGGGCACGAAGTAGGCCACGAAGGGCGACAGCGGGGACACGAAGGGAATGCGTATGGGGCCACGAAGAGCGCGAACGAGCGGGGGCCACGAAATGCAGATAATGCGGGGCCACAGAAAGCAACCACGGGGCCACTGAGGGTAGCAACTGGGCCACGTAGGACAGTGATGGGAGGACACAAATGGCGACAGCGGGGCCACGAAGGGCATGCACATGGGGCCACAACGGGCGCAACTCCTGGGTGCCTGGGTGTCGGGAGCGCGGCGCTTGGGCAAATTGAAGGAAATTCCAACGCAAAGGAATTCATTAGTAAGTTGCAAGCAAGTCTCCAGCGAGAGCGCGACTCCAGAGCGTCGGGAGAGCGATCCCTGTATAAATTGCAGGGAAGTCCCAAGCGAGAGCGCGATTCCTGAATAAAATGCAGGGAAGTCTCGGCCGGGAACGGGGGTCCTGGCTAAATTGCAAGGAAGTCTCAAGCGGGAGCCGTTGTTGTTGTAACCCGGGGGCCAGGGGCCCAGTTTGAGCATCAAGATTCCCCCTGTCAAAAAACAGGGTGCGAGCGTCGAGTGGCACAATTTGATTGCGAAAAGCAGCAAATAATTATTCCCCAGGAGTGAGAGTTCAACAACAACAACAACAACAACAACAACAACAACAACAACAACAGCAACAGCAACAGCAACAGCAACAGCAACATCAACAACAACAACAACAACATCAACAACAACAACAACACCAACAACAACAACAACAACAACAACAACAACTCAGTTCAAGAGTGAACGCTCTGATCTGCTCGAATGCCATTAAAAAATATTCCCCAAACCATCGATACACGCCCT